AGGTAGAGATAGGGTTATGCTGTAGAGTTGGAAGCTCTTAGGATTGATAGCTTATAATAGATTGGATGGTGTTGTGATGTGAATACACAAAGGCGTGCTATAACCCCCCATCTTATACCACCCCCTCCCAAAGGACCCAAACCCAGTCCACGCAATCTCATTCCCTCCAAGTCCCTGAAATCAAGTTCTACCATGCCCAGCGCCCTGCATCTGGCTGCGATCGTCTATCTCACGTCATGCAGGGACCCGGACAAGCTTGTGCCCTGGTACATGAGTCGTGGCGCATGACGTGCCCTAACAGCTTTTTACCTTGTCACAACGGCATTGGTGTGGCTTGTTCCATGCAAGAGCGAGTTACGATGGCCGTTGTTGCTAGGGTCTTGGAATCGGAGTGGTCGGGCGAGGCTGGATGCGGTCATAGCGCAGCGCGGCTGGACCCTGATTTCAGGGCGGGAAGTACGTCATACCTCTGAATAGCTTCATGAGCGTCATCGCTGGATGATGAAGATTGCGAATACGGCGCCGAGGGTTAGGTCAAGATAGTATTCGGTGGTAATACGGTACTGAATTCGTTAACATAAGGTTGCGAGCATGATGAAGTCTAGAAAGGTATTGTAGGCCTGATGGGCTCGATGACGTCGTGACCGATGAGCCTGGTGGGGTTGCTTCAGAAGGTGCCCCGACTGCATTTCTCGTAAGTAATCCGAGCTGCGTCGTCAATTTTGTCTCAGCTGGAGATTCTTGTATCCTACATCCTTCAAACAATGTACACGTCGATCATAAGGCCGTGCGAAAAAAGCGCGTCAAAGCTACGGGTAAGGCTGAGGCGACGTTAGCCGTTCCCACCAGTTCGTACCATCGACGATAGAATGCCATCGGTCGATGTATCGACAATGAACAATCTAGTCCATCCTTCGGTGAAGTTCCGCCTAACTCCTACCACATCAGGCTCCACTCTTGCACATGAGCGTGCCGTGACAGCCTTGTGATGTCACAAGAAATCATGAACGTCAATAAAAGTTCCACTTCGAACGGCGCTGGGTTTGACAACTACACCAACTTCACCCTGAGTCAAACAATTGCACTCAGTTTCTCGTCTTCAGATACCCTCTACTAATCCCGAGATACCCACAAACAACCACACAACATGTCGTCCAGCAAGGGACAATTCGAGCAGGGTAAGCACGCATGATAGCGTTCGAATACTTTCTTGTACTGACTTGGTATCACAGGCTTTCAACCCGATGTTCAGCACCAACAGGCCCCCGGTCTCGAGTCCAAGCTGGACCCCCTGCCCAAGGTCGATGAGCTCCCTACACCAGAGGGAGGTGCCGAGAAGTACAAGGCGGCCGGCAAGCTTAAGGGCAAGCGCGCCATCATCACCGGCGGAGACTCCGGCATTGGCCGCTCAATCGCCGTTCTCTTCGCCATGGAGGGAGCCGACAGCTTCATCGCCTACCTTCCCGAGGAAGAGAAGGACGCACAAGACACCAAGAAGATGGTAGAGGAGAAGGGACAGAAGTGCTACACTCTGGCCGTCAACTTGAAGGAGAGGGCAAACTGCCAGAAGGTCATTGACGAGGCTGTTAAGCAGATGGGTGGCATTGATATCCTTGTCAACAACCACGCTTACCAGATGATGATCAACGACATCCACGACCTTTCTGAGTACGTATCACTTCCTCTTCGTACTCGAGAACCTACTAACAACACACAGGGAACAATGGCTCCACACCTTCGACACAAACATCCACCCCTTCTTCTACCTCTCCAAGTACGCCCTCCCCCACATGAAGCGCGGCGCAACCATCATCAACAACGCCTCCATCAACGCCTACGTCGGCCGCCCCGATCTCCTCGACTACACCTCCACCAAGGGCGCCATCGTCGCTTTCACCCGCGGTCTCTCAAACCAGTATGTCGGACGGGGTATCCGCGTCAACGCCGTTGCACCTGGTCCCGTCTGGACTCCTCTCATCCCTGCTACTATGAACGACGAGGCTATCAAGCAGTTCACTGCGCCGATTGGCAGGCCGAGCCAGCCTAGCGAGATTGCTACTTGCTTTGTCTTCTTAGCTAGCAATGATAGCAGCTCGATCAGTGGGCAGACTATCCACGCTAACGGTGGTACTATCGTCAACGGTTAAGCAAATGTCACTGTTACAGTGTCCGTCACCTTGACGCGGATGATGCATCTTACGAGTTTACGAGCATGTAATATAGTCAAATGAATGAATCATAATGCAATTGACCCTGTTTCGCACATTGTGATACATGATAACGCTGCCTGATGTCTTTCCATTCTGACTTCATGCATGCTACTTCGTAGGTATTTTATACATATTGCTCAACTCACTTCCACCCAAAGTAAAATATAATCATTGCAATCATCGTATTGAAACATCATCATGGTATCTGGCCTTGCACAAACTCATTGCATCGTATTACAATCCCATTTCAAACCACATTCTCAAGGATGATTGGCAGCCCCATCCTGCCTCGGAGTAGGCCCCTCCTTCATCTTCTTCATAATATTACTCAACTTCCCACCTCCACCACTCCTCCCCTCAAGCTGAGACCCAGACACCGGCGGCCCTTGATACGCCGTCTTGCCCGGTACCGCTGACTGCCCTACACCCGCTTGAGAAGGGGGTGGTGCAGCCCCGATTGTAGGTCCCTGTGGCTGCGGGTGTGACACCGATGTATGATTCCCCATGTGTGGTTGCTGCTGCTGCTGTTGTTGAGCGGCGTATTGGCGGGCGCGTGCGGCCTCGATTTCCGATCGGCCTTTGTCGATGACGGCTTGGTTTTTTGCGTGCGCGGCGGGGTTGCGGCGGTCGAATGTGTCGTTGAAGGTTCCGCGGAGGGTTTCTCCTGCGCCCTGTGAAACAGTGTTAGTATCCGTACGCATTAAGATGTGGTGGTATGTGAGTTGCTTACGTGAATACCCGCTGCTGCAGCTTTGAGGTTTGCCATCGTGCTCTGCTTGTTCAGATCGTGACCAGCGCGGTATGGCACCGGGCGATCTGAATCGTTGAGATTGTTGGTGTTGATTCCAGACTGTAGGCTAGGGGGTATGCTGGATGGTTGTTGGTTCGGAATGGGCGGCATGCCGGACTGCTGCTGTTGGTATGCGGGCATTTGAGGGATGCTCGATCGCCGTGGTGTTTGCTGTTGTCCTGGAACTGGGGGTACGGGTGGAATGCCATCCTGGTGTTGCTGAGAGTCCATCCGCTGGTGGTCTGGATGGATGCCATTCCCAGGCACCTGGCGTGGAACTCCTTGAGGCGGTGCTCTCGCAGGGTAGGAGAAGTTCGCACGGTTCGGACTGCTGGGAGTGACTGGGCTGACAACTTCCTCCATCGGGTTCGGCCTCTGAACTCCAGGCGATACTGAGTCCAGCTCTACCCTATGCCGTATGTTGTTCTTCGCTGGTATGGGTGGAGACGAAGGGCCGTCGGTGTTGGAGACTTGTGGAGATAGTCTGTTGCCTGGCTGATTGTTGCTCATAGGCACTGGAGGAGTGATGTTCTGAGGTATAGCAGACTGGGCTGAAAGACCGGGGCCTTGATGGTAGTGGTTGTCCGGCTGAGGAGGAGCCGGCTGTGGTGGGCTGGGACCAGAAGTGTGTACGCTTTGCTCAGACGGAGCAACGCTGTCGCGGGGCTGCTCTACAGTGGTGGAGCCACCTGGACCGGTTGTAGTGGTCGTCGTCGTTGTGGTGGTCGTTGTGACGGTGACGATGTTTCCCGAACCGGCATCGCGATATGTCTCTCGGCCGACATCCTCATGGCTCGACCGGCTTTGAAGCGTTTGTTGCGTTTGCGTGGGAGGCGCAAGGGTATTCTGATGTTGCCCGTTCGGTGGTGTCGTATGAGTGGGAGGCGCTTGGTTGTTCGTAGGTGGATGGTTGTACTGTTCACCGGAGATGGGACGAGCTTGGTTCTTGAAGCTCGGATCTGCGCTGCTGCGCTCGCTACTGTAATACGCCGAGTCGGCATCCCTGCGCGCCTTTTCCTTTTCTTCCTCTTTGTGAGTAGGGTTAAGACTATCTTTCGATGCCTTCTCTTTGGAAGAGAATGGATTGGACATGCGCCATTTCGATCGCTTTTCCTTCTCAGCCGACGTCATGTTGTCGGAGCCGGACATGGGTTGCGAGGAATTGGCTGCGGGTTGACCACTCAAGCCACCGGTCATCTGCTCAAGCTCCTGTCGTTCGCGACTCTTTCGCTTTTGAAGTTTGGCTGGCTGTCGGAAACCGTCATCCATTGCCAGCAGTACACCGAAATTCGGTAGACAGGTGGGACCCGATTACGATGAGCACGTGGAGAGCAGGTCTAGGGAACGGTGGTCGAAGCTCTTGACCCTGGAATAAGAAAATACTGGAGGTATATCAAATAGTATCTGAGTATGTGCAAAGACGCATCAATCTCAGTAGCGGGGAAGCCTTTGTATCGAGGACGAAACCCGAAGCAAGACCTCTCTGCCCACTGAAGACCCCATGATATCATACCGTAGGTTTGTGGCGCAGGACAAGTGTGGCACCCAATTGGGACGGCCAGCGCGTGGCGATCAGTGGAAAGACGGCTGACAGGCAAGGATGTTGACGCTCGATGATGCTTGAGGGAACCCTGCGAACGAACTATCCAAGTTTGCGGTCTAAGCTATGCTTCGCGCGGCTAGCCCATTGGGAACTCTATTCGCGTTGTGGGATGTTCGCAGTGTTCTCGCGATGAAGCGCTTAATCCATGATTGTTTGCGGGATGAGATGCAAGGCTGTTTCATCATGGGCCATGTTCGTGGAGCGCAGCCGGGGCGTGCTGCCCCGCGCACTCAGCCGCAACTCAGCCCGCTTACCTCGAGGCATCAACAGACTGAAGACGCTACAATCCCATTGTTGTCACCATGCTCTTGCAACATTCGCAACGACCAAAGATATCGTTGCCTTTTCTTGTTATGCTTAAATCCCTTAACCTCTCGTAGCTGCGTGCGATCCCATCATGGCGGAGGTGGTAGGCCTGGTCGCGAGTGTCGTGCAGCTAGCTGGCGCAGGCTTGAAGCTGTCCCAAGCGCTGTACCAATATGCCGATGGTGTGGCTTCTGCCAAAGACAGAATCAAGGATATCGCGAACGAGGTCAAGCTCACAAGCTTCGTCATCCAAGAGCTAGGGGCCATCTTCGAGAGAGACGAGACTGCGAACCTGATTTCGGAAAACGCAGTCAGGACAGCCAACGAGACAATCAAAGAGTGTTTTGCAGTTTTCACGGAACTTGAGTTGAAAATCAACAAGGACAAGCCAGGGAAGATGAGTCGGCTGATGTTGCCATTCAAAGACAACAAGATTGAACTGCTGCGAAGCCAGATTGATAAGCTCAAGAGTACGCTGGAACTGTTGATGCAGGTGCTCATACACGCCCATCAAGTTTCATCGGAGAAGTACAACCGCGAAGCTGAAGCGAAGCACCGGGAAGAGATCAAGCAATTGCTTGAGAACAAGAAGCAGGCCACGAAGAAGTACGAGGAGTCGCTAAGAAATTTCAGTATCAGCGACGGCAGCACTGTTGTGGATGATGGCGATCGATCAGTAAAGGATAAAGACGACGTTGGTTCGTCGTCTAACCTCTTCGACGCTGCGGGAGCCATGGGCTCAACAATCAACCCTGATACGATTGCAACATGTGTCGACCATGTACGAAGTCTGCTCGCAGACATCGAGACATTGCAGCTTGCTTTGGCCAGACAAGTGAATGGGGATGACCACTCAGATCACCATCAGAAGGCTATCGGATCTTACTTTCTCGCTCGCTCTCATCTCGACATTGTCCTGCTTGGCAAGTCTCAAGCCAATGCCACTGATGCGAAAATGCGGCAATCGATCAGCGAAGCGAGCGGAAGGAACATAGCATCTGCTGTGGCGGATGTAACGCCGCCCGATAGCCACGCCCTCGCCGCTTTGCGTCACGAAAGGGCACGAAAACAAATGAAGATGGAGATGGAAATGGAAATGGAACGAGCACGTATCGTTGCTGAAGCGAGAACGAAGTCAGCCGACGTAAACATAAATGACAAGGAGAGAGAGGCAGCTTTAATGATAGAACGGGAAGTGCGCCTTGAGCGCGAAGCCAGAGATCAAGTGAGGGCCAAGATGGAGCTTCAAAGCAGACCACAAGACTCAGTCTACCGCCCTGCATGGCGCGCGGATAGTATCGAAGATCTGCCCATCGAATTCCCTCCTGGTGCTGAGTATAGGCAAACCAAGTACCGCGAGGAGTATGCATCGCCTCGCCGCACTAGTTCCGAGGACGGTGGATTACGAAAAGCTAAGGAAGAGCGTGAACGCATACCACGACCTCCAATCAATGGGCCCGATACAGCTGCACTCTTGCGGCGGCCAATTCTTCAGTCCAAACCCTCGAGTTCTTCTGCAGGTGACGTCCCGCCCCGTCCTATAAGTCAGGCGAAGCTGGAAGCTCGCGCTCGAGGTGAGAGGCTTTGGCAAGAAGAGCTGCGAAGAAGAGAAGGGATTACCACTCCTGCAAGAGACGATGTATCTTCCAAGCGCGGCTCACGTCCACGTGCATCATTACAGCCACCGCAGTCAGTCCGCGATAAACCACGTTCACTATCAGCTTCATACCTGTTAGAAGAGCGCCGTCCATCTGTAAATGCCATTGATCCTACAACCTCACCTCCTGAGAAAGAAAACAAGAAGTTGTATTCGATGGATGGCTATTATGACAGCAGTAAGCCCCCACCGCGTCTTCATGGCATGAGCGATAGCAATAGCAACTACCCCACAGAGCTTCGCGACACAGAGCCAGCCTGGCGAAAGCCACGTCCTTACAGCTTAGAACGTGGCTCTCGTCCCATCAGCATGATCTCGGAACGTCCTGGGCCGTCGCGCCGCAGATCTATCGATGAAGTCGAGGACTACACCGAGTCAGCTGGCCTAGGAGGTCTCAGCGGCGCAGCCACCAGCAACCGTGACCAATCCCGCTCACGCTCTCCTCTAGGTCACTCGAACGATATTGCTGGTATCCTTAGACCGTCCAAACGTGTACAAGAAGATGACAGGACCAAGAACCGAGAAGAGGAGGTGTTTGACGAGTGGGGATTGAAACCAAGGAGGGAAGGGCTAGAGAATGCGCGACGCGATACGAAAAGGAAGAGTACAAAGAGTAGGTCTAGTCCTGTTTTTGAAGTTGTGGCGTCCTAGTATATACAATACTTACGTACTACAACATCGACGATACATTGCTAACGATACCATCAACAGAACCAACGGGTTTGAAAGAGAAGCAACAAGGGAGAATAATCTTACGAAACTCCGCTGGAGTTATATGTACGTTAGACATATTTACACGTTACAGCATGTCACTGACACAGCATAGCCAGCTACCCGCAGTCTGAGATGAAACTTAACGATATGCCAAGCGCGGTAGTAGTCGACGAGGTAGATGAGTTATTGAGAGACTGGACAACCGTACTTGGAAAGTAGCTTCATCATCGCAAAATCGTACACATAACGCCATACCTTCTCCAGATTTCGTTAATACACATCCGTTATGACTTGTCGTAGCATACTTGCCACCCGTCCTCTACTCCTACATCTGCAAAACCATTATCGCAATACCTTAGTGCTCACGAAATCTTGTAATACAAATGCAGCACCAAGGATTTTTAAATTCATCAACAAACCATCCCGTTCTCGCACCTCCAATCAATCCTTCATCCCATCCTGTTCCATCCGACCCTCGCAAACCCAACCCAACATCCCCCGACATCGCCCCTCGCCCTCCGATATCGAACCACACCAAACAAGGTAACCCATCCCACCTCACGCTTTTCCGTTCCGTGCCTATCCAACGCCGACAACTTTTCCGCACATCGGCGCGCCCACTGTGCGACGCGACACTCACGCGCCGGCATCTCATCACGGTTCGCGGTGACAATTTTGCAAGACATACCCGTACCACCCCGTCACCCACGTCGCGGCGAACCCTGACAAAATCTATAACATAACACCAACTCACTTCCTCGCCGCGGGCGTCCCGCTAATCGAAAGCGGTAATAAGCTATCGCGCCCAACTCGCATTTGGCGTGTGGGCTTTTTTGCTTCTTCGACGTGGACGGGCAGTGGGGTCGGGATCTTGCTTTGCTTTTTTGGCGGGGCAGGGGCGCGTGGAGGGGCGCCACGCGACTGCCACCTGCTTGAGCCCTGACTAGGAAACTTTGAGCGTTGCTTTTGTTGGTGAGTAATTTTCTGGGTGGCTTGGTGACGTGATGGCGTGATGAATATTATGAGTCGTGAATGCTGAGGATTGGGTTGTGATCGTGTCTATTTTGGATAGCTGTGTCGTGTTAGGAGCGGTTTTCTCCGTTGTGCATTTGGGGAAGATGATGCGCGTGTGCCTGTTTGGTGATCGATTTCAAGTGAAGTTTCATACAGAGAGCGTGATGAAGTATTTCATGGTTCTATTCATGTAAGGTATCTATATACAAGTGGAAGCATCCAGCTTCCGAACGCCAAAGACTATGAAGGTATCGTAAGGTATCATATACAAAAGACAATCCGCTCAACAGCGAACTGTTCACCACCAGTCACCCTGGTCGTGCATGGCAGCGGCGACCTTGCGGAAACCAGCGACGTTGGCACCACCGACGAGAGATGGGAACTCGCCCTCGGCAGGGGTGAAGTACTCCTTGGCGGTACCTAGGCAGTTCTCGAAGCAGTCCTTCATGATGCCCTTGAGCTTCTCGTCGACCTCCTCGGCGGTCCAAGACAGACGCTGGGAGTTCTGGGCCATCTCGAGACCAGAGACGGCGACACCACCGGCGTTAGCGGCCTTTCCGGGTGCGTACCAGATGGCCTCGCCCTTCTTCTCGCGGCGGTGAGCCTCGAAGACCTCAATGGCCTCCTGTGTGCAGCCCATGTTAGAACCCTCAGCAATGAACTTGGCACCAGACTCGATGAGAGCCTTGGCCTCGTCCTCGGAGACTTCGTTCTGGGTCGCTGAAGGAAGAGCGACGTCGACCTTCTTGACCTCCTTCCATGGGCGGGCACCCTCAATGTACTTGAAGCTGTGGTTCTCAAGAGCAGTAAGGGCCTTGCGCTCCAACTTGAGGGCGGCGATCTGGTTGATGATCTCGGGGGTGAAGCCCTTGTCGTCTTCGGCGATCAAAGCGCCCTTGCTGTCGCTGAGGGAGATGACGGTTCCGCCGAGCTCGATGATCTTGAGCGCAGCGTACTGGGCAACGTTTCCGGAACCAGAGATGGCGACACGCTTGCCCTTGAACGACTCCTTTCCGCCTGAGGCGTAGTTGATCATGTGGTCAACGTAGTATACGAGACCGTAACCGGTGGCCTCGGGACGGATCAAGCTGCCTCCCCATGAGCCACCCTTGCCAGTGAGAACGCCCTCCCAGCGGTTGCGCTCTGCTCGGTACGCGCCGAAGAGGTAACCGATCTCGCGACCACCGACGCCGATGTCGCCCGCAGGTACGTCTGTGTCAGCACCTGTAATTTACGTAAGTGAAATGTTCCAAGTGGAGAACTAAGGACGCAGCGCGAACGTCGCCGACGGGGCAGTGCCAGACAGACGGGAAGATAAGGCAAGATAGACCCGCCAGATCTCGTTGGTCTGCTGTCGGAAGAGCATGCGAACCGTTAAAGGTGCATGCCCCACTGAGGCTGAAGTGAAGGGACGCGCTAGGGTCAAGACATACCGATGTGCTTGTTGAGCTCCCTCATGAAGGCAACGCAGAACTTGCGGATCTCGTTGTCAGACTTGCCCTTGGGGTCGAAGTCGCATCCTCCCTTACCACCACCCATGTTAACTGTAGTGTATTAGCTTGGTGTTTGTATGCGATCGACTCGGGTATGACGTACGGCCGGTGAGCGCATTCTTGAAGATCTGCTCGAAACCCAAGAACTTGAGAATGGATAGGTTGACGGTAGGGTGGAAGCGGAGACCACCCTTGTAAGGACCGAGAGCAGAGTTGAATTGCACGCGGTATCCCTTCTGGACCTGGCACTCGCCCTTGTCGTTCTCCCAGACAACACGGAACTGGATGATGCGCTCGGGAACGGAGACGACCTCGAGGGCCTTCTTGTATTCGGGGTTCTTGGAGAAGAGGGAGGAGGCCTCAAGGGTGGAGACGAGCTCTGTGAGGTGTTAGATAGGTCGCGGATATTGAGGAACCATTAAGTTGTGGTACAACTTGATGGTGCTGTGGTGAGGCGCAAACGTACCCTTCCTGGCTTGCTCAAACTCGGGCTCAGACATTGTGATGTTGGATATCTTGGGGACTGGAAGAAGATGTGAGGTGATGGAAATTGACACAGTCGAAGAGTCACAAGTTGATGGAGAGAAGAGGCAGGAGAGAGTGTCTGGTATATATAATTGCAGTCGGCGCAAGCTAGATAGTTCGCTGGGCCTGCGGTGACGGTGCGGAACAAAGTCGCACTCGATTTGAGTACGTCAGAGGCCGGGAGATTGGGGTGCTGGACCCGTCTCAGTGGTCAATGGGGTCTACTGCACGCCATGTTGATGCAAACCATGGTGTGCACTTTTTCCACTGATAAGGATCTGGCCAATGGGCGGGCGAGGACAAGTATCGCGGGGTGGTTGCACGTGAAGTAGCGGGGGCTCCGGCCACTCGAGGCTCGTGGCGGGCGGTAATAGTCGAGAGTCAAACCATGGGAGGCGACGCGATGCCGACGTCGGCGGGCGCGCGACTGAGTCTTGTTACGTTGGGCTTTCGCCTAGTGGCGTGTCAGGGTAAAGAGAACAGGCAGGGAGAGTGGGAGAAGCCGGAATGTGGGCGTGAGCTTGGGCCACGGAAGACTGTCTTGGCGCTGCGGCCGCTGGCGACCTCCTGCTGCGGAGATGCCGGACATCCTCACCTTTGTATGCGACGTCAACCCACAAGCTTAAAACCTATACGATATAGATATAACCTCAGCCTCTTTGCGACATTGCACTGCCTCAATCTCTACCGTCGCGCCCTCCGTCATGCGCATATGCGCGCATTGCAGTCATTGCGCTGCAAGATCATGACTTGAGACTCGATGGCGGCGTAACAATATCGACATAGTCATGCATCGGAAATAGGAATAGATGAGCATGCTCCATTTCTACATTTGGTGACATGTGAAAGAAATCGATTTCCCACCCTCCACGCGTTGACCCCCACGCCCGACATCTCTGCCTCCACACCGAGCACGCTCACGGGCAATCGGTAGGGTCCCAATCTGGAGAAAAATTGCACGTCAGTAAAAGCAGCGGGATGAGAGTATTGACATGGCTGCGTATGCCAGGCACCCAAAGGAACTCACCGGTCACCAGGTATTCGTCCAACCCGTCCATCATGTCCATGTCGCCATCCTCGATTACGAAGCCTCCAATCTCCGAGTTCTCGACGATTCGCTCCTTCTTCACACTCTTGGGTAGTGGAACATAGCCGTGTTGCAGACTCCAGCGGACTAAGAGCTGGCCCGGAGTGCACGAATACTTCTTGGACAGGGCAACGATCTTTGGATGCTTCATGCGCAAGGCTCGGACCAGCGGCGCGTAAGCCTCTACGACAATGTTGTGTTGCTGGCAAAAGGAAGTAATGTCCTTCCGCCTAGTGTACAAAGTTAGCACAGTTTTGCATGCAATGCAGTCCCTACGGGGAACTCACGTATTGAACGGGTGAACTTCGATCTGGTTAACCGCTGGAGGAACCCGGGGGTTGGAATCCAATAGCTCTTGCAACTAGCATATCGTCAGTGATTGACTTCGGCGACGTCAAATGTCCGGTGACGCTCATGACTATACTCCAGAGTCCAATGAGGGCGACTACAACGACTTTCCTATCCTGGGTGTATGTTCGCACTAGAGACTGAATCCGGGCCTTCCCGAGACAACTAAAGCAAAAAGACGGGAACCAGGGTCTACTTACATGTTTGACACCATAATTAGAGACGCCTCCAATCTTGACTTCGCCGTCATGGATTGCGTCTTCGACCGCTCTCCAGCTGTCGAGACGCGCCTGCTTGCCGCCATATGGGGAGTGCAACAGAAATAGGTCAATGTAGCCAAGACCTGCTTCCTTGACAGATTTCTTGATGGCTTTGCGGGCCGTTTCGTATGCGGAGTTGGACGCTAGCTTGGAAGTGAAGTGGATGTCTTCGCGCTTGAGCGACTCGGTGTTTGCATCACTTGCGAGAAAGTCTGAGATGGCTTTGCCAGACTCCTTCTCGTTATGGTACATCTGAGCTGAATCGATTCTGTGTACGCGTCATCCGTCAGCCGTGTGAAAGCTTGGTCTCGTGATGCTACTCACCCTCGATAGCCAGCCTGCCGTGGTGAGCATTATGGTTACTGATCATCAGGAACGGCAAAAGCATACCTCGAGCGCCCAGCGGACGGCTTGATAAGTCTCCTTACCGGACGTCAGATAGACGCCGAGATGAATTGTTGGCATGGACAGGCCATTGGAAAGCTGCCACTGTCAGACACGGGCGGCGTCTAGTACGGTCTTGTCGACGCACCTTGGTCCGCGACGCCAATGAGAAGGAAGATTGTGCCATGTTCACTGCTGGGGGCTATGTTGTGCATAGACGAAAGTAGATGTGCGATGCTGCAAGAGGCAAGCCACGATGGCAGCAGAGTTAAATGGTGTTCCTCGGCGAACTGGTTACATCATGGCCCGTCACGACCGGGGTGTGAACTTTATTGTGGAGGCCTCATCGTGACGAGTCTGACGACTCTGTCACGACTCTGACATGTCATGGCTGCGCAGCGTCCCTTGTCTGTTGCAGTTGGAGTAAGAATGCGTTGCACGCACAAAAGCAAAACGGGCCATATGCGCCCGCAGGCTATAGGCTTCACCAACCCGTGGACTGCATCGTGCGGACGGTGCCTGCCGATTGGGGCGCCTGCCCCCACCTCCCGATGTCCTCGACTAGCCCTCGCTGCAGCAGACCCGACCATCCAGTGCCCTGTCGTACAGTGTCTCGTTAGCCACGTAGGACAGCCTCACCGAGGGCGTGCGGGCTTGGATGATCGGCGAGGAACTATTCTTCTTCGGCGGGATGCGCTCGTGAAGCTGGAGGGGACGGGCAGCGCATTGGTGGGCGCCCTGGTATTGTGGCTCGCCGGACACACGAACATCCGTTTTACATGCCATGGCAGTGGATCCCCTACCGCGATTGACGAGATCTATCGCCCGGGCGTTTGGAGGCGCCTGTCACTCTAGTCATTCTAGCCAGACTCAAGCATGACAAAAACAACCCGGCACCCTCAGAAGGGCTCAGTCGCAAAGCCGGCTCGATGCGCCTGCAGCTCGGCCGCTCCGTCGGTCTCTGCCACTGTCTTGGGTGACCAAACGGCCATCATCGCGCAGCAATATGTACAAGGAACAGCAAAAAGGGGGGCAGCGGTCGGCTGAAGCGCACACAAGCAGCCAACGGCAGCGCAGATAGCGCAGTCTTGACGACACTTGGTTCACTACAGAGTTTTTGAATAGACCGCCTCGGGAGCCGTCGACCTGGCCGCCGACCCGCGAACTGCGCAGCCACCATCGCCGGCTCCACCAGGCCCTGTGCTGCTGCTCATTGGCCCGACGCGCTGAACTTACTGGTTAATGATCAAGGGAGCCGGAGTGGCTCGACTTGATCATCGCCAGGATTATTCCAAAATCGCAGCCATCTCACGGAGGCTTCAATAATTCCTCGCAAGGTTAGCAGGGCGGCGTCGACCGAAGCCACCCCATATAAGCAACTTCTCAAGCCTCAGCATCCGTATACTCAACCTCCCCATGTATAAAGCATCTTATCGCGCCCGCTATCGATGCTACCAGAACACCAAGCAACAGACACTGCAGCAGCCTTGAACTAGCCGCCCACTCGGTCGTTTCGTCATTGATCCTGTTCCTCGTCTCATCCTGCCTAAACCCTGAGACCCTGGCTCCCTTGGGCTGCTGTTAGCCAGACCCGACATTCTGCACCGGCACGTTTATTTGACAGTGGTTGCACCCAGCTCGGTAAGTTGCGAGCTGCGAGTACACAAACTGGTGTTCTCCTCCAGCCAACCAACCAGCTGTGCTGACTTTTGCCGTTCCTGCAGTAGCTTGCGCTGCCCTCATCATGACAAGTTTACCCGGCTTCACCACAAACTTCCCCGCGGGATACCCGACCTTTCAGACTCGTGGTGGAACTTTTGCGCGCGGCAGCACCTCCTCAGGAGGCTCGCCATCTGTGCCAACTGCCTCTTCTGAGCCTCACTTCGACATCTTCGACTGGCACCCTGCATACCAAAGTTGCCAGCGCTATTTCCTCGACCATGCGCAGCACGACAACGGTGTGCAGGCAGTGTGCGCCCTCATCAACATCTGCCTGCCCTTCCAATGGACGCAGACTCCCCTCATGAACGCCTCAGGACCGCTGCCTCACTCGTCGGGCGCTGCTGCATACAACATGCCCTGGCCCCGCCAAGGCCCCGTCACCAACTCGCGAGGCCAGCCGGCGCCGGCATGGGTCTCCCTTGTGCCCTTCATTCGACGTCTTGTCATCACGGGAATGGACAGTCCAGGCATCATGCACGGCTTCTTTGGCGAGGACTGGAGGAAGGGAGTCGGCCCAATGCACGAGTGTGAGCGTCGCAACTACCTTTTCGCAGCCAAGAGCGTGGGTTGGGCAAAGGTCAAGTGCCAGTACGACATGTCGCCACACGAGTCAGTACCTTTCCTGAAGCCATTGCAGGAGGTCCAGCTGGCCGAGATCGAGGGGGCCGAAAAGACGTGGAGTCAGTGGCTCGCAATGGAGGACTGGATGGTGGGCCCACGGGCACCGGATGCGGACGAACAGCTACAGGATGCCCCTCGCCGTCCATCTTGAAGCTTGGCGTGGAGTATGGCGTTGTCTAGTGCACGATGGTCGTCAGCATCACGACCGTAATTTGCGTCGCACCAAGACGTGTGTGGATTTATTTGGGTTGGCGAGGGCTGGGGTTAGCGGTCAGTCTTCAGCGATCAGCACTTCGCGCCATCGCTGCGCAATGGTTGTACATGTCCCACGACATGCGCGAGAACGCTTCTATCATCCGGTAGTAATGTAACTATTCCAATACCATCAATGTTGTGTATTAAACTTGACGGCTTGTGTTCCCCGCGCCATCATTTCTTAACTTTCAATTTAAGACACGAACTCCGATCCATAGAAAATAATTTGGGGAGCTTGGCGTAATATTCCTTTTGCTGAACAGACGCGTTGGAAGGTTCGCGGGTTCTGTGCGCTGTCCGCATCTGTGCATCGTGCCTGCCAAGGAACATCGGCCAACCTCAGCTAAGCACGACCACCTTTGTTCCTCGCCAGACCACATCCCATATTCTTTTTCTTGTCAACTATCAGCCCAACGTCCAGGGCGCATTGTTAAACTACATGGGCTATGGAGTCCATGGTCAAGGAATGGACGACTTTCTTGGACAGGTGCCTCGAGCGCCGCGTCCAACCTGACCTGTTCGCTGCAGCCGTCGCGCAGCTGCACGCGAAGTCTCCACTGCCTGGCCGGAAGCTTGCTGCTCTGGTCCTTCGACCACGCGTTGCAGGATCCAACAGCGTCGACCCGCGCTCGATAGTCTTCCTCGAGCAGTTACTAGCGCTTAAGAAGGTGGATGCTTCTGATGTTCTAACGCTGACGTTCTTGTACTCCAAGGACCGCCTTCCGGTCAAGACAGGCGACGAGAAACCTACCAAGGAGCCGCAATGGGACAATCCACCAGAACTCGAGGAAATCGTCTTCCACCGCCTGCACAAGGCTTTTGCTGCCGAGGAACGGCCTATCAACAATACCGAAGGCTTGCGCACGCTTATTGTTGTAACAAGATGGATGCAGGCGATGATCACTTCGCATACCAGTGATAGTATGATTCAGGCCATGGCTGGTATCCAACAGCCACAACAACACTCTATCAACGTCCGGGAAGGACTTGCGATGCTTGTGATTGGCATAATAGAAAACTCAAGAATTCTGCGGATACTGAATAATCCCAAGGGGAAAGGTAAGCGCATCTCTAATTGTTCTGATGTTTGTACGATGTTTTCGAACGGGTTTGCTCAAGACTTAAGAAGTACACTACTCACATGGATTAGATGTGCGCAAACATTTTGTCCAGTCATTCTCTTCATTCATCCCATTTCTATCCAACAACTCGGGCGGATCGCATCAGTCGTTGCAACTAGCTGAAAGACTTGAGCTCTCGCAAAAACGACACGACTTTTATGAGAAGCTTCCCAATATGAACGGAGAGGGAAATGGGAACGCCGGTCTCGAAGTCGCTGCACTTCAGCTCGATGCCGTGATGGAGCTTCCACAAGTGAATACACGAGCCGGTCTCTACGTATTTTTGAATGCCTTGGTACGTCTTTCAGCTGACGATATAGCACGTTGCTAACATTTCAAGCTTGTCGCGCGGCCTCTTACTGATGATTTCATCATTATCAATTATCTCCATTCGCGATACAAGGTAGGCCAGAATCGTTTGATCTCGAAGGAATGCTAATCTCCGTCAGCTGGAAGCACAAAACATGGCCACGGACTTGATTACTGCCGCTTTCGATGTCCTTGCCAACGCCATGTATCGCAGTGAACCAACGCAGACGATGTTTCCCCTGAAATCGTTCCTGATCAACAAAGTACCTTTACTCCTCGTACAAATCTCCGGGTCGATATTCCCGATGACAACAGAAATGTGCGTCACCCAAGCACTCAGTCATGTGGATCCCCATGCTTTCCCGTCTTTCTCGCAGGGGTTCGACGATATCATGGGAAGTAACAACTCGCTCTCTGATGTCAAGCAAGACTTCCTTAACGCTTGCGCGCTCCATGGGCTCATCCCAGCCGGTGCTGTAGAGCGGTTGCTTGGTGAAGCTCCTATGCAAGGTCCTCCATCGAAGAGATACGAGAGGAAGGAATTACTAAGCCAGTGCAAGTCGAACTTCGACAAAGTCAGCACATACATTGACGAGCTTGAGAGCCTGGACGGAAATGCCGGGGCCATCGTCGCTGCTGTCACAGATGTAAGACATGAAACAAAGGGTTGCGAGAGGGACCTACTGATGTGATGACAGTTCATAGCACATCTTTGCGAAACACAAACAACTATGTACTTGAAGCAACTGTCCTCGTTGATATTCAGGAAACCGCAAGCGATGGATGTCATGCTTCAATTCACTTCGCCGGCAAGCATCCTGCGACCACTATGCCAATTCCTCGATGAGTGGCACTACGACAGCGATCAAGGTTTGCTTCATTACATGGTGCAAAGATCTGTGACTAACGAATATAGGTGAATACCAACCGGTCTACGACGAGTTCGGCGCAATACTTGTCCTCGTTATGGCCTTTGTATATCGCTATGATCTTACATATCACGACATTGGCATCCAGCATAATACATTTATCGCCAAGCTCATGAAACGCGGTCACCATAGCATGCTCCCCCATGAGTTGAGCGAAGAACAGGGCAAGCATCTCGGCAACTGGCTCAAAGGGCTCTATGATGCCGACAAGGAAGGGCTAAGCAATGAGGTGTTTGCATCCTGTCGGCCACAGGATTTCTATCTTATAGTTCCGACACTTTTCAGGCAGACTGTCGTGGCATGCTCGACAGGCGTACTGTCATTTGAGTCGGTCAAAGGTGGCTTGGAATGTAAGCTTACCCCGATGTTCTCGTCCAACTCAACACCACTGACTCGATTTCAGATCTCGGAGAGACTTTCCTATTGCCATCTTTGATTGAAGGTCTCACGTGGATGGCCTCCTACGCGCTTCTTCAAACACACAAGGACCTCGACTCAATGATACGCATTTTCAATGAAATCATACTGACTACTCCTTCTTCTGGCGACGCACAAACTATGCACTCGACTATAATAGCGATGGTGGCTAGTCGCCTGGAGAAATGCTTCCGTACGCTACAGCGGCGCGAGCCAAATCGCACGACACTTGAGCCTTTCATCCAGGCGATCAAAGTGCATGCGCACTACGAACGTTCCATATACGCTAGCTTAAAGGAAGTGGACCAGTGGACGAATGCGCCGAACAGCACTCTGAACACGTCTCTACGGCATACAATACAACAACTATGTCAATGGGCTTCGACTTCGTCGTTACAGCCGAACCCACCTGGCTACACACATCGCCAAATCTACGCATCGCTCAAGATGCTTGGTGCCACCAGAACGCTACGCGCAATCATAGATGAGGTAAAAGCGCAGACCGATGCTGGCAACGGAGCCGCCGCGCTTGACATCGGCGTGTCCATCATCTGCGCCCCGACCGTTGAGGACAGTCCCATCACAATAGACTGGGTGGGAAGCTCGATACCAGCGCCGCCTCAACAACGAACCCGAATGAATCTCCGCGAGATGCTCAAGCAGGAATTCGAGAACGCAGCCAATCTGGTCGCGACAGATCCTCTGACTGCAGAGACGATAGTGCGTCTACACCGCCGAGTAGAAGCGCACTTTGCCTCCCTCAGCGAAGCCGGCCTCCAGGCACCACCCATCAACATACCGAGTGTCAACATCGGGGATATGCAATCGCAAACTATATCCGATGATCTGAACCGAGCCATCGACGATGCAGCAGCCGCGACGGTGGTAGACGACATTTCCAATATGGATAACAAAGCGCTGCAACGCAGTATGGACGAACTCACTGGTGCCGAAGGCTTGGACCTGTCAAACATCGGCATGGGCAATGGCGATACAGGCGCAGGCGATATGAGCACAGATCTAGGTAGCTTACCTGGTATGGATCTGGGTGACATGGGTAGTATGGGCATGGATATGGATATGGACATGAATATGGATATGGGCGGTGGCGGAGGAGATGACGACTGGGGCTTGGATTTCGATAACATGTAGTGAGTGTTTGAGGAGCGCTCTTCATGGAGTCGGTATCTAGGCACGTAGATTATCTTTTCAAAGGCAATGTTTGGATAAGCGCCTGGGCGAAGTTGGATCGGAATCGTTGGGTTATCACAGATTATTTCTCATCGTATTTTTAAGGCGCCCTGCAATCAAATAGAACACACATGATATCAAATACTCCAAGGCTGATTCGGTATACATCGTGTATGACTGTACCGAGGTAACACTACTAATCCCAAACCGGCAAGAAGTAAGGATAGAGGGGAGCGGGGGTTGTACCTGCAGCTGCATAACTCCGGCAAGGATTGCCCCACCATGTTTCCCGACGGTGACGTTCGGTCACTCAGCTTGTAAACAACACCTCCATAACCTTTGGAATTCCACCACGTCCTAATCTTCAATTACCTAGCGAACAACTCTCTTCTTACTCTAAACCTACATCGAGGACTCGTTGATCGAATACATTGTCCGCGGTTGGAGGTTGAGAAGAACAAGTAAACAGTAAACAGCAAACAGCAAACATGCCATACGACCTCAAAGGCAGAAATGTGCTTATTACCGGTGGATCGGCGTGCGTATAATACACCTTCCCATACCATGTTATGACGGTTACTGACACGCTCTCTCCCAGCGGCCTCGGCGAACTCCTCAGCACGACGTTTGCGAGTGAAGGTGCCAATGTAGCGATTAACTACTTCAATCGTATTGAGCCCGCGCAGAAGGTTCAGAAGGCTTGTCAAGAGCATGGGGTTAAGGCTGTTATTGTTAAAGCGGTGAGTTTGCTTGTTTACTTAGGTAGGGGTGATGTAGTGGACCTACTTGGAAGTAGAGATTTGGGACTTAGGATTTGGAAAGAAAACATGCTAATATGAGATAGGATATGACGTCGACGGATGAGGCGAAGAGAGCTGTCAAGGAGACGATTGAACAGCTGGGAGGGCTGGATGTTATCATCGCCAATGCAGGCTGGACGCGATTCTCCGAGTGGAAAGATCTCGATTCCATGAGCGAAGAAGAGTGGGATAAGTGCTGGAATGCAAACGTCAAGGTACCCAAGGCATTACTGTCCGAGGCGAGGAGCACGTTCGATGCGAATCCAGATGGTGGACTGATGATCACTACGGGCAGTATTGCGGTAAGTCGTCAATCTCCCTTATCTTGCCACAACTACGGACTATGGGTTTGATGATTGAGTACTAATCCCGAATCACAGGGTGTCAGCCAAGGCGGCTCCAGCATGCCCTACGCCGTCACCAAAGCAGCACAACTCCAGCTCGTCAAATGCCTTGCCGTCACCGTCGGCCCCAAGATCCGCGTCAACACCGTTCTCCCAGGCTTACTGTTGACCGAATGGGTAAGGATGCAGAAGCTATCCTGTCGTCTCATGCTGACAGTCACGCAGGGCCTCAAGTATAGCAAAGAGAAGATCGAGCAGCTCACAAATGCTGCAGCACTGAAGCATGTAACTTTCATGGATGACTGTGCTTCGGCGTATGTCATGTTGGCGAAGAATACTAGTATGACTGGTATGCGCATTCAGGTTGACGCTGGACTCAACATCCAAGGCGCGTAAGAGTATGATGTGGAAGTATCCACTATCGAAGATATTCTTCGGTCTAGCAATGAATCTGATAATTGTCACGGCCTGTAAACATGTCACTCACTGCCTCGGTGAGGATTGGTCGCGGAAAAGCAAGACCTCGGCCGTGGGTGGAAGGGTGACCCCACGGCGCTAATTCAAGCTGCAGGGCACCTCACGTCAATTCCCCGCGCCCGAACCTCCGCATCTCCGCAGAGCTTCTGGAAATCAACACCATGACTCCCCAAACTTCATAGCCAGAAACACGCCATGTCTTCTTCTTGTAGTACCGTATCCAGAGCAGCCCCGCGTTTGTCGCGACGGTGTATGCGATGCGGCGAGCGGAGCGCCAATTGCCAGCCTGCTCGGCGGCGCTGGATGAGCAGCGTGCGAGATGCGCCAGCTACAAGACCCAAGACTGCCATCTTCTTCCCTGGTACTTCTTCCGCGCTTCCAAACATTTTGCAGCTCTAGTATACTAAGCAATATCAGGCCAAGGCGTACAACGCGTGGGAATGTGCACACCGTGGCTGCAAGCCTTCCCCAAGACGGCGAAACCCATCCTCGAGGAGATTGACGAGACCCTCAAACTCCCCCTTACCAAGACAATAGAGTCTGGCACCAATGCCGAACTCACACGAACCGAGAACGCGCAACCTGCCATCATGGCAACCTCGATCCTGATACTGCGGATACTGGAGAAGGAGTTTGGCTTCAAGACTAGCGAGCGCGTCGACATCACACTGGGCCACTCGCTCGGCGAATTTGCAGCCCTCGTAGCAGGTGGCTACCTCACCTTCCACGACGCCCTGAAGATGGTGCGGCGACGAGCCGAAGTAATGAGCAAATGCAGCCAAGAAGCTGTCGCAGAAGAAGGCGGCGAGTTCGGCATGGTCGCCCTCGTCTGCGAATCCGAAGAGCACATGCAATCCCTCATCAACGGCATCCACGAGTTCCTCGCCCTAGGCTCCAAAGCCGATTCCCACGACCACCTCCCCGCCGTCCAGCAAGTCGCCATTGCAAACCTCAATTCGAAGAACCAAATCGTCCTCAGCGGCAGCATCACACGCATCAGCACGCTCCTGACCAACCTGCGCCAATTCGGCGGCCACGACCCCCGCCATGTACGACTTAAATCCGACGCCCCCTTCCACAGCCTCCTCATGAAGCCTGCGGCCGAAACAATGAAACGCATTCTGCACAAGCCTACAGAAGACGGCCGCGATATCATAACATGGCCGGGCATCATGCCGTGCATCTCAAACGTGTCCGGCAAGCCCTTCCAAGACAAAGAGCAGTTGAAAGACTTGCTAGCGCGGAGTTGTGTTGAGACGGTGCAGTGGTGGAAGAGCGTCAAGTATCTGCACGAGCAAGAGAAGATTATGCGGTACGTGGGTATTGGACCGGGGAAAGTGGGCAGGAATCTGGTGGGGAAGGAGGTGGGTATGAAGGGAGCTGTTAAGGGGGGTGGGGTTTGGGGGATTACGAGTCCGAAGGAGATGGAGGAGGTGGTTAGGGCGTTGGACGATACGGAGGATGTGGATGGGATTGAGGTGGAGTGATTAGTGGAGGTAGGATGGAGATGATCATACGAGGGAGGGCGATGAAGAAGGGAATTCTTGATGTTAAAAGCGTACAGATATACCCCAGTGTAGCGACTTTAAAGTTAATGGAAAGTGTTCGTCAAGGTGCGTTTTTCGTTCAGTTCTGATCTGCCAAGGCATGTCTTGCTGAATATGCCCTTCGTCGCTCCTTCCTCCACTAATCACCCACATTCTGGACAGTGTCTTCTACCCACAACACTGCAACCTCGTACCACACGCACGAACACGCACAATGTCGACGTTGCAGGAACAGCCAAGCCCATATTCTAGAAAGCCAGACAGCGGGTTTAGACGCGACAAGTGACAAAAGCAAGCATTACCTTTGCATACTTTATGCAGTCACAAAGCCATCGCAATCACACCGCATACCAAAGTACGATCTCGATGGCCAGCCCGAATCAATACCTGGCCCCAATTTGAGTCAGAGGCGCACTCTATTCGAGTTGATCACTTTTGCAAAATCAGTCAACCCACGTCGACTGACTTGTCGGTAACAGATGTTCATACGACTGTTACAGCTAGCCGGATCCGCACGATATCAACAACAGACACGATGCCCAAAATGTTTTATCACATGATGGCGAAAGCGGTGGTCAAGATGTGTTGTAGCTAATCGGGCCGCTCAGCATTGCCGATTGACGCGTCGTGTCAGATCTGGAGATCCCTGGTCATTCATCAACACCTCCTCCTCTGCAACCTCAGAGTTTAGCGCGGCGCTAGTTGGTGTGCTCAGGACGATATCAGTTCCGGTATCTGCCCGACCATCTTTCCTCTTGGAACATGAACATCCTCCTCACACTGCCCGGTGTATCGGTCGATTCATTGGCACTTTCAGCACGACCTTCGCCGCATCCTCCGGCAATTTCTAGCCAACATGCTACCCGACAACATCTACAACAGCTATCTTGAATACAAAAAAGACACTAATACGTACATCAACTGGCTCTGCAGCACTGCAACACGTATAGGCTTTCCGCCGCCCTACAAGTCATCGTTGGAATCAACGGCATCAAAATCACAGGCCCGGAAAAAGAAGAAGCTAGAAGAGCGAGAAGTCAGTATTAGCGGACTGATTGCATGTGCGGAGGCAATCGCCGAGAAACCGCCCAAGCAATTCGTCGTTCCTGTATACGCTGCTCAGTGTGCAGCACGGGCCATCAGACAACGGAAGAAGTCGTCGCAATGGCATGAGAGTCAGGTTGATGGGTTGGATGGAATTGAGAAGGTAGTAAAAGAAGAAGATAACGCCGGTCATACTTTCTTCACTGAGACGCTGGAGCATACGCTCAATATCTTACGACCGTTTATACGCAACGCGCAACACGGCAACAAGACTGGTGACAAGGCTCAACGACATGATTCTATGGATGATATTACCAATCGCTTCAGCAAGCTTGAGATTGAGGAGTTGGCTGATCAGGAAGTCGAGAGTGCTGCGATTGCTGTCGCCGAGAAACCGCCAGCAACGTCACGGATCACATACGTTGTCGATAACAGCGAAGAAGAGCGCCAAGTCGCTATGGAATCCCTTCTACATGATCACTTACGAATCAAACAGGCCATCCGCAAGACATGGCAGGAATATTTGTTAGACAGAAACCTTGACCTCATCACGACCGCGGCAACAACTCAAGCCGGGATGCAGATGCTCCGGAGTCTCGTTCACGAGTTCACGATGCAGTTCCCCGGACTTAACTCGATGGAGACATTCTGCTTGAACTATCTTCGCAAACGCAAAGACATCCGATCAGGTTCCGAAGAAGCTATTCCGGTAGATACGAGCGACGCGGATATCCAGATTCCAAAGCACGTGGCCGAATTCGGCTGCCTAGACACTTATACCACTATCCGGCATGCGTTGAGTCGTTTCTTCCAGGCTGAAAACTACGGCGGTCAATACCGAGCAATGGAGCTTGTGCTTCAAATCGGCTATTTTGACAACTACAAAACGGACATGCCTGCCCTCCAACCACTGGTCAACGCCCTGGAAGACATCTTAGGCATGGACGTCGACGGAATGGGCAGCTTCCAAGATCCTCCCATTATGGACAACTTCACTCAACTCTGGCGAGAGTATCTCCAGACTTTATACTCCGCTCCCAAACCGGAGGGACAAGAAAAGAGGGAACTTCCTGATCTGAGCGTGGAACTGGTTCTCTGTACGGATCTATACCTGAAGGTACAAGAGGTCGTCGTACTTGCCGAGCCAAACATCATAAGAGACGACTACAAGAATAACTGGGCAAACAAGAATTACTATCAGAATGACAGCGACTCTGGTCATTACCTGGAATTGTTAAAACAATACCCGTTCACATCCAATCCAATCCGCAAAACACTCACCTCTTTCTTCCGAAGCGATGCAGACACAGCAAAGGTTGTAGAGTGGCATACCACAGAAATGTTTTGGGGTCGACGCGCCATGATGAAAGAAAAGATAACAAGTACCAGGATAAGTGGAAGAGAAGAATGCGTCGTTGGAGTCTTTCGTTGGGATTGGCCACGATATAACCCGTTTCTAGCTGGCCTGATAGCCTTTGTCGTCGCCCAAGCTGTTGATGAGTTCAATACGGTATATCAGAACCACAGCGGCAGCCCGGTTGCGACGGCACATCTCTATAACTACCTACGACAGGCTCACAGCGTGATAGCCTCATCCCCCTGCACGCCTGTGTTGGCAAAGGAGTGGCCAGATATGGAAACCTATCTCAAGATCATGGGCGACAAGAGTGTATTCGGTGGCGATCGACCGTGGACTCTGCGACATTGTTTGCAACGTATATTTCTGGCACACGGTCGCTCCCTTTCTAGCCTCGCTCGCAATTCACACAGCGCCAACGACTGGGTAGTCAAAACCAAAACCAGACTGCAAAGCCATAACACGCCCATCATAGATGCTCTTTGTGAAGGGGGAACGCAGCGACGAAACTTTCTCAACATCACGAACAAAACCATACAAGAGGTCATTCAGCGTGAGGCCACTCGCCGTGCAACCACCTCTACAGGACAAAGTAAATTCTCCATCAAAACCCTGACCGGATATCTCACAGCTTTTCGCCGCACTCTGCAGTACGAAATACCGCGAATGCATTTCATGCACTCTCTACTTGCCATAGTGGCTCACTGGCTTCACATTCAGCTAAAAGGCCCCTTGAGAGCTATCTCGGAAAATGAACATGGCTACACACCGGCCGCGTGGGACAACGATGACACTATACCATTACACATTATCTGGCATGAGAGTCGCCACCAAGAGAGAACCAGTAGCCTGAACTACGAAACGAGAAAAGTGGACTCACAGCCGACGTACAAGGCGGCGAATTTTATAAAAGAATGGTTGGATAGCAATCCAAGGGGATCGCCATCTGGTTCGCTTGCCACGAGAAAGTTTGAGGAGATGGTAAAGTACGTATATCCTAGCATCAATCATTGCGTGTACGCAAAAGACGAAGCTAGTTACTAACCATCACAAAAAGGGCGTTCCACTGTATAAACCCCCTCGACAAAGAGCAAGAAGAGTTTCACGCTCAACACTGGGCCGAGTGGGTACTCGCCGATGAAGAAGCGGTGCAGAAGTCTGCAGATGAGGTTCTACACCGAGAAGGCATGATGGAATTGTGTCTGCCACCTTCGTTCCGTGAACTCACCGCCAGTCCCTCAGCAGCGGAAAGCTCGCCCAACCTACCAGACGAGGAAACCAACACGCAAAACCAGCAGAACGAGATATCTACAGCCGATGCAAACAAAGCTGCATTCGAAGGAATACTCCGGCTTTTGCGCCAGGCTAGAGCGGACAACGATCAGAGCAAGACGGCGGGGTTGGTGCAGGAAGCTTTTGCCAGGCTGGGCGCGCTTGGAGGGGATCATACGTTGCCCCCGGAGGATCATCAGGAGATTGTCAAGGCTGCCGAGGAGTTCATGGGGAAGGGGGTGAGTAAAGATGGGAAGAGAGTTTACTATATTCGTGTTGGACAGGCTGCTCAACAGCCTTAGAAAGCAAAGGCGCTAATATGGGTGTATAATAACGACGAGAGAAAGGTACTCGCAGTCAAATGAAGAGTACTTCATGAAGTCGGGACGTGGTGCCAGTCGCTGGTCGTTGTACGAAAGGTTTCAGAAACCTTAGGTTTGAAGCACATAGTACGCATGGAGAATACATACCATGACAAGACGCTGAAAAGTGATAGCAGTGAGTTAGTAGACAAATCGAACCCCGTTCGCCCACATTGCTCCTTGCGTCACACTCTTTGCATTACCATGATCCACATACACATCCATATCAAAGGCCAATAAGGTATTTAGGTGAAAATGGTGATTTGATCGAATCTAAGGCCCGGTCCATATACCCGTGGACCCAACACCAACACGGTCATGTAATCTCTTACTCCAAAACACCTCCTATCTACCTGTTCAAACTCAACAACTCCTCAACATACCTCCTCGCATCAATCCCAATCCCCTCGGCCAACCCCTTGGGTCCCCACCCTGCCGCACTCCCTCCCATCCTCTCATTCCTCGACGTACTCCCGCCTCCCATACCAAGACCACTCCACATGCCACTCGCAAAGCTACTCGAGCTCTTCGCACTATGCGCTGTGGTATCCCTCGCCCTCCTCACAAGGAACGCTTCGCGCAGTTCATTGGAATTGAACTGGCCAGAGCCATGCCCTGAACCGGCGTTCTCGTTCGAAGCATTGTTCTGCGCGGTGTCTTCGTTGGAGACTTGCGAGGGGGGCAGACGCATCCAGACGACCCACCAGCCACGCGAGGTTTTGCATGTGCGTTCTATCTCAGAGAAATTGCGGCGCGTACCCGCTACCGTAGCGAGGATCTGAGAATGTACGTTCAGGGCTTCGATTCTGCTCCAGCCGAGCGAACTCGTGCTGTTGCTGCCCAGGCCTTCGGCGAGGAGGGTGCCAGGATCGGGGATATTGGGCAGGCTGGAATGCACGGTATAGGTACGTGGGTCGTAGACGAGGTCATAGATGGTTTGTGTGTTGGGGCCAGAGGCGGGACCTGAGCCGCCGGTTGAGGCTTCTGTTGTGTAGTGGTTTGAGACGGCGTGGAGACGCGCGGCGACGAGGGCGGGGGAGGTGCTCTTGTCGAGAGAGCGGTGGAGGGGCGAGAAGAAGTTGTGGATGTCGCGGTAGAAGGATGCGACGCCGAGGGAGTGGGTGCGGTGTTCGAAGAGGAAGGTGTAGACGAAGGGACGGTGCTGTCATGGGTGTTAGTAGGGGGTAGGAGTCTGGAAGTGATGCGGAGACTTACAACGTAGACAACAGGTCGTAGCCGTGATAGCTTGTTCTCTGTTGTCGGCTCCACCTTCATGTCTCTCTCGTACTGCGGAGTCGAGTCCGAGTCGCCGTCTTCTGTTTTCAGTGAAGCTTCTCGCCTGTCGACTTCCACATGTATGGTCCGCAGCGGGATACGGATGTTCCAATCGCCCTCTCCATTCTCGTCGTCGATGTCTAGGTCCTGTAAATCGCCTTTGAGTCCGACAAGAAAATACCCATCGTTCTCTAGACGTATTTGTTGCTTCATCTTCTCTTCCGCTGGATCCACATCAGGTGTTGGATCTACGTAGCGCATCGCTGCTGGTGAAGGCGTCCGTTCACGTGCCGGTGGTGGTGGTGCCGGAGTTGGAACACTAGGTTCCGATGTTTCGGCGCTCTTCTTTCCACCCCATGCTGTCCCATAGCCAAGTGTCATGTATTTCATCCATGTCTCGGTGTCACCCAGAGACGCCAGCATTGGCTTGGACTCAGGCGCAGTCGAGTCGGTTTGGGATTTGTTGTTTTGGACGGCGGCGGATGCCTTGTCAAGAGAGTTCTCAGCTGCTTTGACGATAGGCGGAGGGATACCCGGTGGCAGGGAGCCGTTGCTCGAGGGAGGGAAACGCGGCCTTTCCTCTTGTATCGGAGGCGATGGCTCTTCTGGTTCGGGTTCGGGCTTCAGATTTCTCCTCCGCCGTTTCCTGCGATCAGATGTGGGGTTGTCTCGTACGCCGTAAGCATACTCGCCGTGAGCGTATATAGTCTCTACCCAGTGAGACAAGTCTCGTAATGACTTCCTGCTCACAGCTCCCAGACCCGAAAAGACAACGCCATCTGCGGCATGGACGTTCTTTCCGACTCCGATCCAGGGCTCCAGCTCAGAGACTTCGAGTGTCTTCGGGTCTGTGGATGTCTTGGCTTGTTGCAGTGGTGATGCTTCGCCGAAGCGGGACACCATGACATCGACGAGACCTGATGTTCTGCGTGCGAAGTCTTCAAGTACGTCTCGCTCGCTGCTTCCCCACTCCTCCTCGCCAACGCCCATACCCAGCTCGCCACCTGCTGCCAGCTTCATGCCACCGTATATGTCCACCGCAGGGCTACCATGTAGGAGCACGTCCCAGCTGCTCGCAAATCGCGACCAGTACTTGTCGAGTATGCTGCAGAACTTGGCACGGCCATGTTTGGAGAACATGTTTTCGAGTGTGGAGCCATGATGTAGTAGGAAGACGGACTGGGCGCGTACGAGTTGCTGAATCAGAAGCGCAGGCGGGCTGACTTCGCGTGACGAGTATTCGATTATGGGCTCGGTGGTATCGGTGCTCGAGTCGGTTCGTGTGAGGCCGCCGGTTGGGGGAAGTTGGGTGAGATCAATGGACTATGGTGGTGTTAGTCGTAGTGTTTCTGAGCACGTGGGCATACATACTGCCAATATCCACCATCCATTCTCCAGTTCGCGTAAAACGATGCGCGACTTTTGTGTTTCCACAGAGTCAACCGCTTCGCCATTGGAGAAACTCCTACTCTTGGTTAGCTGAAGACGCGGAAAGAGCTCGCCTGCATGCGTCCTACTTCGCAAAGCCTACCATGCCCTGAGCTAGCCCGACCTGGCGAAGCTTCTCATTCTCTTGCTCGCGCAACTGCTCCTCCCTCTCTGTATCGCCATCTTTTAGCTTGGAGCGCGTCTTGGCGGCCTTTGAGTAGTAGAAGACAATCTGCTGGTGGAAAGTCTCATCTGATGTTCCGAGCGAGGGATTGTATATGGCTAGAAAGGAGAGCTGCGCCGGGACGACCTTGGGAACCGCTGTGGAAGACATGTGTGCATTCTGCGAAGGGCCTGGTCGCGCGGCGCTTCTGGTGGATTTGGGTGATGGATGACTACGTCACGCGTGCGGAGGAGACGCGGAGGAGAAGACAGCCAGCGAACGTGCCAACGCGCAACCCCAACAACGAGCGGTCGTCGTGGCCTATTTGTATTCCATAGTCAGGCACTGCAGTCCATCGCGATGCGGCGGCCGGGCAGCAAGGATCCCTCCGATTGTCGTGGTCGAGATGCCCCACGGGATCACGATCGCAACGTCCAGACCCTGCGGCGCGGCTTTTGTCGCCGAGCTTCCTCACCTCTGAACCATGATCTGGAGGCTGCGCAGCCCCGTCCGCTCCTTGATCGCCACTTCTCCCTGCCGATGCAGCTCTACCTCTGCTCCCGCTCGGACGTCGGAGCCATTGCGGATTCTCTTCTGTGGCTCTGACGCCTTCAGCATCGCGTCACTGCGCGCCGTAGCAGACGCGAAGCGGCATGTGCCGGGCCTCATTGAGAGCATTGATGTCATCCACCGACCAGCGAAGCCTACCGGACGGGGTCTGAAGACGCTGAGAGAGGGTAGGAACATCTCTTGACTATAACAAAACATCAATTGACACGTTACAGTACCCATCAAACACGTAGCTACCGAAGAGCTCAACCTGCCCACCCATGTGATCGATACCTTCACCGGCTGGACTCCACCCACCCCCATACATGTCGTCATCGCCGTATCCTTCGGCCTCCTCGTCCCACCGAGAATCCTCAACTATGCGCAATACGGCGGTCTCAACGTGCATCCCTCGCTGCTCCCCGATCTGCGTGGCCCAGCACCCGTCTCACATGCCATACTGAAGCGGCGGCAGTACACCGGTGTCTCTGTGCAAACACTGCATCCAAGGCATTTCGACCAGGGTACTATCCTTGCCCAAACCCCCATGCCTGGCTACGAGATTGCCCTTCCTACCGAACCTCGTCCTGAGACGGCTCAGATATTGGAGCAACGGCTTGCCGCGGCTGGAGCAGAAATGCTCGTAGACGTCTTGAAGGAACGGAGATTCGTACCTCCGCATGAGGATGTTGGATGGTACGCTCATTCCGATGGTCCTATCGATCACGCACCGAAAATCACAAAGCAAGATCGCTTTGTCGACTTTCGAAAACACTCCCTGGCAGACGTCATCGCCAAACGAAACGCACTTGGCGACTTGTGGTGTCTACTACCCACCGGTGATCGTCTGATAATCCACGACATCATACCTCATAATCCGGACGAGTCCCTATTCTCCACGATGGAACCTGGCCTCTTCGTAGATTTGCAGAATAAAAACGTGCTTATGTTCAAAGGAGCATGCGGCAAAACCGGACACGGCCTACAGAGTACATTGCAAGGGCACAAGAAGGGTCAGGGAAACGCGAAGTTGTTGCAGTTGTTCGGTCCTTCAGCGAATACAAGTGTAGGAACTGATGCGCTTACGAGCACCTTATACAGAGTTATCTGACAGTTTGCTCCGACCATTCCTCTTTGGCATCCTGGAAGTCTTCAATCTCTTTCATCACCCTCACGCTTTTCGACATTGTCTCAACCTGGTTCAGTACTGATGTGAAGCCCGCCGAGTCCGAAGTCTCGTAGAACAGCTTTCTCATCTTTCCAGTACTGCTATCGACTGCCTCGTTCAGCGCTCCTAACAACGACAAGACATGCCCGTCTTTGTTGGACTGAGTTGCTTTCGTGTCGTCGACGAAGCGAGCGAACTCCTGCGTCCATCTGCTTATCTCGTTCTTCAGCTCTTGCGTCTGCTGTTTACCCTCTGCTGTCGATTGGAAGATATGCGGTATGGAGTCCTGCAGCTCCTGGTTTGTAGGCGCCACACTCGTCAGGAAATATGGCTTCAAACTCTTCTTCGGCTGTGCGTGTCGCTGTTTGAACGCCTCGTATTCTCTTGCTCCGAAAGCACGGCGTTCAATGTTGAGCGCGACAGTGGCCGCTGGTAGGTCGACATGGCGTCTCAGACCCCTACGACGAGGTGTGCTCTCCGCACTAGATTGGTGTTCCCAAGACGTTACACCGCCAACCCCTCGCACGGATACTCTTGTTGAGGTAGGTCTGATATACGCATCTGCTGTGGGCGTCCTATATGGCAAAGCAGACATGGCGCACATGCTCACTGAAGGAACCCCTTTTCCATGTTGTTTGATGGGACCAGAGGGTTCGCCAATTGACGAGCCGCTCAATGAGTATGCAGCGACATCGAGTTGATCATGAGGCTGTTCCGTGCTCTGCATTGTGGTCATCCGCAGTTCTTCTGCAATCGAACTCGGTGATTCGTCAAACATGGAGCCGCTCGGTGAGTTTGCAGTGACATCGACCTGGTTCTGGGACCACCCCGTACTTCGTTTCGCTTTCATCTGGCCTTGTTGTGGCCTGGCAGTCGTATTGGTGAGCATGACGTGCATCTCCTCCACCATACTTCGAATTTCAGGATCTGCAACTGGATTGCGCAATACGTTGTCTAACAGAGAGTGCGTTATATCGTGGTTCTTCTTGCTATTAGCATTCGCGAACGCAGTGTTTGCCCTGAAGACTGATTAGCCCATGTCCTCCTACGGTCAAAGGCACGACGCTTACCAGACTATCGAGGTCAACATAAGATTTATCGCATCAGTGTGCGACTTTAGCTTCTCGCGATACTGTTGCAAGGATTGCTTCTCGCGGTCCCACCGCACTCTCTGCCAGTTGACCTTCATGCTCTTTCTCACATCATACAGCGTGCGCAACTTCGTGTTTCCCTTGTTCGCTTGGATCTCGACATCGCGATACTTCTTCGTCACAGTGTCCAGCTCCTGCAGTGTGGAAGCACATGACCCAATCATCATATCCAACTTCTCTTTGAGCGTTGACCCCCCATGTTGTAAACCTGGTCTTGCGAGTACGTCTCCGGATACGTCCTTGAGGTGATCCAAAGCGCATCTCAGACTAAAGAGTACCCCCTCAAGCTCTCTCAGGTCATGCGATGCAGCCTCTCTTCCAGAGCTGAGGGTCGAATAAAGATCGTAGGCTAATTGGCTGAGGAGGACTAGATGATATCAGCACTCTTGCAAAGGACCACACATTTGTACACATACTTATATCTCCGATCGAAAAGCCGAAAGACATCGTCTCCAAGATTATTTGCAGTGTGAGAAAGGCTGTTGTGTCACTCCGGTTGAATGCAATGGGAGTGGGCGCGCGCATGCGGCTGACACGACCCCACCTGGCAAGGCACAAGGCTGTCCTGGAGCCTGCTTGCACTCCGAAAGAGACTTCGCACAATCTCTCTCTTTTAATTTCTTCGACTCATTGACCGCAATTCACAGCTCGCCGACTTGTCGCATGCGATGGCCACCACAACGCCCCCAGTCGTCCCTACGGACTCTCGCAGAATCGTAATCAAGGGTCTAGAGAAGGCCCAAGATAATGAAAACACCGACCAGGCCGGAGATGGAGATGTTTACCTAGAGGCATCGACGTTCTCCATGATCATGCACGAAGAGGAGTCGTTGAGTGACCTTTGGAATCGGATTGAAGGTTGCTAAGCTACGTTCCTGGCATTCGAGCATTGTATTGACGTTGAACAGGTTCGGGCTTCCACAAGCCTGCTCTTATAACGATAGGCGACATAAGCCATCGCGAAGATGACCCCAGACGTATCGTCAGCGCCCACGAAGAAGTCGTCGTAGTCGCGGACGACCAGATGTCCACCAACAACACAATCAGAATGACAGAGTCACTAGTCTCACACGCCAACGCTCATCACGGTCACATAATCGACTTCAATATTACTCCGACACTCTCTTCAAAACGCGCGGTAGAGGTCGGTGGAGGGTTTCACCTATCTTTGGAGCGGACCCCAAGAATGCCAGACGATAACAAGCTGCATCAACTGCCAGAATCACTGGAAAGCTACGATCTGTTCAGCGTGGACGCCTACTCCGACCGTCTACCAGACAACATCAAGGACCGCGGCGGCGTATTCTTCCCCATGTGGCAGCGGGAGGCAATGTGGATCAGCTTTACGCCGACAAAACACAAGTGTGCCGTCCGCGTCTTCATGGGCCATGTCAACACCGTCTCCGGTCTCACGATGAATGAAACAGCTAACCAGCAAAGTGACAAGGTCGAGCAGGACTACATCGTTATACCAGGGCAGCGATGGCTAGATGGTATCTGTGTAGCGCCTGGTGTTGTTCGCCAATTCGTTGCTATGCCACGTACGTTCTTGACTCCGTTCACAAAAGCATGGACTAACTAGATGAAGTTGGGTCTGGGTACACTGTTGAAGGCCAAAAGACTTCAAAAGAACAACACGGTGGGCTTCAACTGGAGATCACACCTGAAATGGTTCCCAAACTACGTCTGTGGTCGGAAAGCAAACACGAGTATATTCTAAAACAAGGCCCCAGTCCTCGTGGTAGTCTTTCAGAGAACAAGACTCCTGAAGAGCTGGGTTGCAAGATCAGTGATGTGTTGAGATGCTACCCGACTGATAGTGCTTGCGAGGAGCGACTCAAGGTGAAGCATCTCGCAAAGCCGGGAGAGGCCATTGAGTGTGTTGTAAGTTCTTTCAGTAGAAATACCCGGACCTACGGCTAACTTGGGTGTGAAAGGCGTTTAACATACTGCGCAAGTCCCAGGATACGCTTGAGAATGAACAAAGTAGACAGCGAATGGGGGGCCTTAAGAAGAAAGCCAAACAAGTGAGACAGGAGATTCCATCGCATTTGTCCGTGGAAGACCTTACATCTAATGGGTCAAGTTCGCAGAGTCGCGCCGTCGAACCAACTGTCAGCCAGATGTTAACACCATATTCCAGCAGCAATTACGACGTAGAAGCAGGGAGTATGGGCGGAAGCAATGGCCTTCCTAAATTTTGCCGGGTTGAACAAGATAGCCTGGCTGTAGACAACGATATCGAAATGGAAGATGGCGGGGTCGAAGATGATGCATATCACGCCCCAGAAACTAGAGTCATGGAAACCAAAAATCTCAAAGCCATGGGTCTAGCCGCAGGCGGAAAGCTGAGTGCGTTTCCTCCCTTCTCACTCTCAAAATTCCCCTCATATTGACCCTTCACATAGTTCAAGACATATACAAAGACCCCTACCCACCCACAACATGGAACTACGCCGCAGCGCGCATCCTCCACATACACATCCTCGACCCTGTAAGCTGTGAGAAAGTGACGCACATCGTCCCAACTCCACCAAATACCGACGTGAAGGCATACACCGAGGCCGGAGGCCAATACTTCGTCGTCGAGGAAAAGGTAGATGAACGACTTGACGGAGGTGACTTCGACAACGTAAAGAGCGTCAGCCAGATGGACCAACACATTGGTATTAGCACTGAACCAGAGTTCGACCCAACGAAACCGAAGATGTGCACGACGTGCGAACTACGGCTTTGCGATTGCATGTAAGTAGTCCTCCTCCCTCCCTCCCTGACTACCCCTCCCCGGTATCTCTGCTCACATAGCCCCAGCATTCGTCCCTGCGATCACCAATTCTGCAACATCTGCATTAAGCGCATCGATCAGGACAGCGACGAAGATGTAGACTCAGGCCGTAGAAACTGGAAGTGCCCGACTTGCGACAGTGCTGTTTCGCATGTAGCGGGCTTTTCTGCCCCGATGAATCTACCGGGCGAAGAGCCGCTGCGCGTCAAGGTCCCGGTCAATGTGCTCAAGATTGAAGATGGGAGGATGAGGTTTACGAGTGTGCAGAGAAGTAGAGTTTAGCCCATAGCTGTTTGAGTGGTCAACAAGCTATCGATTGTATAAAAAGATAACTCTCTTTGGTAGCAATGGAGCTACTTCCTTGTACAAGCAAAAATGCAGCGACCTCATCGATTCTGCCATGATATTTTGACGCGTTGCAGTCTCGATACAAATGTTGCATCGACATGGTGGGTGCAAAAAGATGCCTGCGGAGCAAAAAGACAATCCTCCTCCGGGAAGGCTCGAACTTCCAACCTCCTGATAACTAGCTACTGTTGTAACAGTCAGACGCGCTAGCCAATTGCGCCACAGAGGATTTGTTGATGAAGTGCTGGCAAAATTATTGCATTATAAAGCACAGCAGTGTCGACGATGGTGGGCTAAGAGTGCCTGCCTGAGGGGCTTCTGGTCAACTTGATCACCTCGATTGCGCGTGGAGCGTAGGTGGGGTAGCTAATATCACTTCCGAGACCTCCGCCGTCGCATCACCCAACATTTCATGAGAGTACTAACAACGAATCAGAAATCCACGATGGCAAGAGCGACAAGAAGAGCGCACATTTTTAAAGGTCTGATAATACGCAATAGTTGTGTACAATGACAAGAAAAGGTTTCGCGAAGCGTCTATGTTCTACGTTTCTGTCTATCCTCAAGCACAACGTCTAGCGATCTCTGCGCGAAAGCGCATCAAGCGTTACAGTAAATCCAAAAGAGAACACTGAAGCATCATCTCAGTGGTCGCATCTGGATATCGGCGTCATCATCATCCCTTCGCTCGACGTCATAAACTGGCGACATCAAACCCCTTTCTTCCTCGCTGTCTCCTCGACCTGCTGGTTCAACATTCTTCTTCGGCTCCTCCTTGTTCATTGCGACGTATATAGCCGAACCCAGGATGAGCGACGACCCAACAATGGACAAGGCACTCGGCGTAGTGCCCCAGATCAACTTGTCGAAGCCAAGCGCGAAAAACATCTGCATGTAGAGCATGTTCGTTGCGCGAGAAGATTTCTCGTATTGTAGGCCGGCGGCTAGGAGGAATTGCTATTTCACGTTAAGAGATGCGCGACGTGAGATTGTAGACCAGACTTACCATGACGAATCCACAGATACCCAGAAAGAGCAGGTAAGACCAGTCTTTCACGCCTTTGGGGAGTAGAAAGCCGACGCCTGGCATGACAGCCATTGCCACTACGCTAACAATCGTGCACCATGTTGCAAAGTAGGTGACGGATATGAGTGGATGTGCGCGCTTGCCGATCCATCGAATGGTTGTGTATGCTCCTGTTGATCCTATCACACCCAACATCGCGACCCCCACTGCTGCTGCTCGTTGCGTGGGTGTCACATCATCGTAGTCCGCAGCGAGACGATCGGGCGAAGCCGTAGTAGTATTTGTCGGAATGGCGTCCAAGCCGCCAGAGGCAGGAGGGACCGGGTCGCTGGAGTGCGATAGCGCAGAGAATAACGAGACAGGTCTTGCGATTAAGACGACGCCGAATAGCGAGATGTACGCAGCTATCTGCTCCATCCTGGTGAAGGGTTCGTTGATGAAGTATGAGCACGCCCAGCAAGCGAGCGATGGCGAGAGGAATGTGATGACGGTGGCATCGGCCAGAGGCAGGTACATCAGAGAATCTATAAGAGTCAGCACTATGTCAAGTAGGTAAGACCCATATGATGTACTGTGGAATCCATCACAGCAACGCAGTAGCAATAACATTCAGACGCGATCTAATATCGGACGAGCTGAGACAAGTTACTGCATACACATGGTCCTAAGAAGGGGGGTAAGTGACTTACAGTACATGCCAAAGACTCCGAAGAAGCCAAATAATCCTCTGGCAACTAGCAACGAGCGCACTTCCTTCATACCGAATGGAAAGTGTTCTATCTTGCGATACCACATGTAGAATAAAGCACATGCCGTGGTGATACTCATCCTTGCGAACAAGATCTGGAATGGATGGTAGCCATTACCTATAATCTTAGGTCAGAACAAGCGCATGTTGTTACACGAGCATCTACCTACCGCTGTTTCCTTCCATTTCCAATATCCTCGTGGTAACATTCATAAGATTTCCAAAGAACTGAGCGAGCAAGACATACGCTAAACCCTTGTTCGTTGTCCAAAAAGAGTCGATCTTCTCTTTGAGAGTCCGCGGAGGGGCGGATGAGCGTGAAGCATATTCTTCATGGTATACAGGAGCATAGTCTGGATTCCGACCAAGTCGTACAATGTTCGCATCGTCTATTGATATGAGGGACGGATTCGGGGAGGGAACACGAATTGCCCCGCGATGAACGCTTAGCGCCTCATCGGTTTTATCGCCGGGTTTAAGTGACGATTCAGCCTCGATTTCGTGCTCGCTGAGACGCTGCGCGGTTTTATCATTGTCTTGAGGGAACGTGGGAAAAAGCGGCTGAACCATAATGCTTCATGAGGTGTTCATGGAGGTTTGTGAGTCGGTGACGACGACATGAAGATATGATGGAAAGCGCTCGAAAGCCCAGCCATGGGCGCCACTCGTCAATGAGGAAGGCGCAACCATCTCAACGAGTCACAGGCACGCGACACTGCCCCGGATCCACACATTCGCCCCTCCTTCGCGTCGCTTCTCCCCAGACCCCGCTGGTTCATGGAAAAGTATCCATCTTGTGCGCACCATGCATTACGCGCAGCTTGAGAGACTTCCGTAGATTGTGTTGGGACTTCGGATGTGGTTTTCTCACGATGACGTCGGGCATAATCGCTCACGGACGTACCTCGGTTCCATCTTCAAGAATCGTTCGATTGGTACCTAGTCCGGAAAAATGTCCGGAATCACAAAGTCGGTCTTCACGTAGGATGGGGTTATCCGGGCCTTTTGCAGCCCACATCTATGCGCAGCCCAAACACTGCATCAGACAACCACGAACATCGGTTACAGGCAATTTCGGTGGCAGCCACCCTCGAGAACGCGGAGATCCAGCTCAATGTTGACCTGATCACCATCTAGTCACATTGATCCACTTGTTGAAGGACCCATCAGCCCACCGTTGTTATGCATGGGTCGTCGAGACAAAGTTAGAGGCGTTCACATGGGCGCGTCGCGCCCACCGAAGGTTTACCACACCGATGAACGGCTGGAGACGTCAAATGTCGTACAGGACTAGCCATGCTTGCGCGCGTGGGTGTGTGGCTCAAACAAACTTCGAATACGAAGTTCAACGGGCCAACGGCTCGCAGCCACAAATTGGAGGCTTGAAGAGGTTGCCGCAGGTCTGGTGATAGGCTACCGTGAGGGACGTTGGAGTGTTGCAAACTGTTTCTCGGATCAAGGCGTCCCACACTATCTTCAATTGAGGTGTGACAACATATCACAACACCAAACCGGTGAATCCAGGCCAGACCCCATCTTCGAGCGAATTTGTCAATATTCGATACTTCACAGCACACCACTACCGGCATCAGTAGCGCTAGTTCACGGCCCACGAAAGCGAGATGCGGCATCTCCCAGCCCGCGAAACGGCGTCCACTGCTCTAGTGCACAACATCACCGTCTGCCATCCATGGACATCGCTTGACCATCACCAACGCTACCACTCGTCACACATTGGAATTGATGCAAGCGAAGCGCTCACCCCGGCCTGTCAGTCACACGTCCGCATACGGGGATCGCGCCCGGCAACCAAAACTGGGATACCCATTGTGTTACAGATAGATGAGAACCACAGCACCACGGCTGACAGCGATAATCTCTGAACTTACTTTACGACTTTCGGGAAAGAAGTGTGCACCATCCTTGCGTCATGTGTGGACCCATAACAGCACCAGTAAGCTGGAACGAAAAAGGAAAATGAGTGGTGGAGCGTTTCATAACGACCACCATGACTCGCAGCTATGTATGGATACTATGGGGCGGATAAGGCTGGAACACACGGCAGCACGCGCTACACTCGACGTGATATTGGTGTGATGAATGTCTTTCTCATTGTAGCGCTCCTTGCCATCGACCAATCGCTAACGGTTCCCAGGAGAGGGAACGTAATTTTCCAACACAGTGGATCTGCCTAGGTACCTCCAGGGGTCGGAAAGACTCTCTTCGCAAGACTGTGTCCGCGGCAGACAGCCTCAAACCCCCGACCTGCAAAGGGCATTCCTTTTACAAACCCTAAATGCGCATCCGAGACGAACTGCTCGCATTCGCATCTTCTTTAATTAGCGATAAACATTAGCCGTAGTGTGCTTGTTGGTTTAGCGATATTCCTTTCCTCCCTTACGAACCTTGGAATGGGCATCGCGCGGGATTCCTCTTGCACCAGGTAGACAATCCCCAGGCGAAAACCACAGTTCACGGTGCATTACCGATGTTTCAGGCTTGCCACGAGGAGACGCAGCGTACGCACAGATCGACTGCAAATCTCCCGCTCCAAGGCGCCCCGCGGGAGCGCGCGTTAACGAAAGCCCGTCGGCTAAAAGGGATTGGATTCTCCAACCAACGTGACCTAAGCGCGCTGTATCACCAACAACCTTTTGCATGATAGCCTTGACAACATGAAGCCATTGCGAATATTGCCTATTTGAAAGAATGCTAAAAAGGAAACTTCTTCTGTCATATACGCAAGGGATAATGATATTCTGCTTCGGACAGCTATACCGACGCTTTGCCTGCCCACTCAACGTTACGATTAGGTTTGAGGCCGCCGTTAAGACAAGCTAGGGCATATAAGATCGAGACTATGATGGCGCGCCTCGAGCGGAACAGACGATATCCGGTCACTGGTGTCCCTTTACCGTCTCTTTTCCCCTCCCCACATCACGACGGCACTGCAAACCGCTTCGGAGATGGCGACATTAGCGCGCTCAAGGAAGACCCATGATGTGAAAAGCCGCAAGAACCAAGGGTGATGGAAATACAAATCCTGGCTCCTGGTCGACGTTCTATGTGGATCGGCGTGGGGTACTGGATGATACATTCGGGTAAGGGAAGCTAGGCGGGATAGTATAGCAGCGAAGGTGATATAGGATAGGGTGAGGCGGGGCGGAAGGAAGCGGCATGAAAGCGAACTATCGAGTAGTTAGCCAAGATGGATAGCTGCAAGCGAAATTTTCGCTGTTAGCTGGGACTGCTGTACTGAGGGCATCATAGGACGATCAGTATTTCTTCGCCCGAATGACTATTTGCAAAGTTTATGCTGTGGGACTTGGTGGCTGGGAAGCCAAGACGTTGATGGCGAGATGAGGTGCAGGTGTGTTATACCACGCGACTCGTATTGCGACTACCATTGCGCTGGGAAGAAGGCCGTTGTTCCTCGGCGCCTAGCTGTTTTGGACGGCTCGGTGCATGGTATGAGGACACCGCGTTCGCGTTGTTGGAAGAGAATGCGAGTGCAGTGCAGTGCATTGAGATTAAACTATGCTGTCTCGCCAAACGATACCGAAAGAAGACTGACAGCGCATATGTCGTGAGAGCCAACATCAACGTCGAGAAACCGCATGCAGTGCGATAACGGAGAATAAATGCAGTGCAACGAATATAGTCATCCACCACAAAGGCCACCCACCACATCCCTCCACTTCGCTTGCTTTATCCCAAAAGCGAACTTGACAGCTAGTACGCACACCACCGAAAGTCCCACAGACTGTTAAGATGCCCATGCCTGTAGTGCCCCATCCATCCATCGCGTTGCTCGACACATGTCGTGCAGATACCGGTAAACCTTCCTTTCAGTCCAATGCAGATCCACCTCCACCACCGCCTTTACTCATCATGCTTCGCAGTCGCCTAAGCTGGCCCCCTTCCTAGCATCGCTCTAACGCCTGCAGCCGCATACTCATGCGCGACGTCTTGCGTGCCCGGCGCGCTGGGAGCGGCATACTTGCTCTGACCTCGCAGCTGACCGCCGAAGCTCTCGTCGTCATACACGACCGAGTCGTTGGTGGCGGCAATGTGCCTTTGGTAGAGTTGCTGGGGTGCTGCGTCTTGTGATCCGGTGGATACACCGCTGAGTGTGAGGCGCTGCTCTGTGCTGCCTGATCCGAAGGACTTTTTCAGTGCGGGGACCGAGAGGTAGGATGCTGTGCCATTTTGCCAGTTGTCCACGTCTGAGCCGGTGAAGGTCTGGTTGTTGTAGGGCGTCAAGCTTAGACGCGTGTAGTCGGATGTCTTCCAGTCATTTGGGAAGGCTAGGTCGCCTTGTTGCTGCACGTTTTTGCTTCGCGACATGCTCGCGTTGATGCTGACGTTGCCGCCTGCTGGTGCGCTGTAGGACGATTGCACCCATAGAGGGTATTCGAAGCTTTTGGAATAATCTGTTGATGCTGTATGTGTACCGGTCGTCGACTGACGTACGATTTGGTCGTTACCGCCGTTGCTGAGAGTTCCAACGTTGGAGTAGGTGAGCTTCTGGGTCCAGGTAACTGCTTTGGATCCTTCAGGCATGTCGAACGTGGATTGGATTTCTAAATCGCGAGTGACTTGAATAGAGTAGTCGAGGGAGATGCCTGCGCTGCTGTTCAAGTATCCGCGTTTCGACGAGTGTAGTACGATACTGGATGTCGAGGCAGAGATTGGTGCAGGACCTGTAATAGCGTTGTTATCAGCGCCGAGCCAAACAAAGATCTTTCCAGTAACCACCCAATTCGATTCGATCGCTGTCGTAAAGTTCCCGTTCCCATGACCGTCATCATCGACGCCCACAACCTGAATCTCGAAGCTATGGGGTTGGCCGTCGCTGAGCAGTGGTATGAACGGAGTGATGTCGATTTCGTCTTCTCGCAGATCGAATGCATCGATGCCTACGATGGGTCTCCAGAAGCCAGGAACAACGCCACCAGTGAAGATGACGGGAAAGGGCCAGGCGACTCCAGCCAGCGATCCGTCGATCAGAAGACGGAGTTCTCGGAAGGCCGAGTGACCGTATAGCGTAGTGTCGTTGCCGAACGCATTGATGTCGGATTGCAATACATTGCTCCACCAGAACTCCTCGGCAGCCTGGCCACATGCGGAGATGGAGAAGGCGGCCTTCGTCGCATTCTGCGGAAGCACAACGCTGTTGACTGCTCTTGTCTCCGGTACGACGAATACGCTGGATGCATCTTGACCCGACTTCCGTGCCGAGATTGGGATGATAACATCCGCGGGCTCGATAGCATCCTCGGCGGTAAAGAATGTTGCAGTCAGCGTGGTGTACCAGGAGCCGGTGTATGTATCATCGACGATATTACCGAGGTCGAAGATTATCTTTTGTGGCGTATTGAACAGAGATTGATAGCTACTCATGTCCTTGACATATGTCCATATTATGCCGGCTTGTGTTGGCTCGGCGGTGGAAGTACGGAACACTTCGGTATCATCAAGGAACATCACACCGAGTCGGTCAAACTGCCGGCCGGCAGAGGTAACGGTAAAGTTGAAGGTAACCCTGTTGAAGCTGCACTCCGGCGGATTGTATTCTCCCACGAATGGCTGTCCGTACGAGGAGGCAAATGTATGGACCATCAATGTCTGCTGGCATGCATCAACTGGACTCAGGACTGGTGGCGCAACCTGTAGGCATTCTAGCAGAGATGATTCGTTCGTAGCACGGTTTCTCAAGGACACGGTCTGGGGGTAGGGCTGCGCAAGCGGGGTAGTCGTGAGTAAAGCGGAAGTAGATTGAGATAGCGTCATTAGTATTAAGAGCAGAGTTACGAGACACAGTCGTCCGTTGTTGGGTACCGCTCCCATAGGTGATGCCAATTCTAATAGTTCGCCGTTACGCCTTGCATGAATTCCATCGCTCTTGCGCTTCCAATCGCACACGCTAAACGCCATTTTAGCAACCGGTCAGTGGCGGTCTGCTGTGGAAAAACGCCGTTACTCCGTTGGAGAGGTATCTTGCGGAAGTCCAGGTATCTTGGTACACCGATGAACGCCAAATAAGAAAGTCGATGACGATGCGATAGCCAGCTGATTGTAGTCAGTAAGTGATGTAATTTGTGACAGACAGGCGAAACTTACATCGTCAATTCAAAAATGCAGCTGTTGCCTCATTCAAAATGCGGCGGAAGGTTGCGGAAAGTAGGTGTTGTGGGCGAAGGCTTGGATAGGCGGTTGCGAGGTAGATCGTTGTTGCTTTGCCGTTCCGTTGTTTGCTAATTCCGTAGATCCCCGCCGTATGAGAACGAGAGCAGTTGTTTCCGGCAAGCTCTTATTGGCCGCCTTTATGGTTGTCCCAGAATCTCTTAGTAGCGTTGCGAACTATTTCGTTATCTCCGAATCGTGTGCGATAGTAGTTCATGAGCGCAAATTCGTCTGGCGGGAGGATGTAGGATTGTGGTTGAGCGTTGAGTTTTGACCAGACCACGGCAAGGCGTTTCTCAAGGAATTGGGCAAGTTGCTGGTCAACGCCTCCGTCACTGTTTTGAGCAACGTGAACAGCCTGGCCAAGAGAGAGGTAGCCATGGCCAGCTATATATTCCGTGTTACCACCCATGGTTGCTGTGTAATGCAGGATATATTGGTTGGTGATGAGGCTAAACGAGAGAGGAAGGAGCGACGGCTGATAGTAGTAGTATAGTAGTGTCGACAAGATAAGGAGCGTGGGAGTCGAAGATAATGTCAAGAGAGCGGTGACGGGTAGTGAGACACGGTGCAGAATAGGTGAGGAAGTAGTGCGGACAGGTAGTCTACATACGAAGGCATATTAATAGGCAAGTTGAGAATGAGACGAACCCACGTGGAGAAACAGGCAGATCCTGAACAACAACTCATGCAGCAGCGCAGGGTAAGAGCTTAGTCGAAGCCTCAAACAGTTGGCTCCGGGAGCGTGCCGTTTTGGGCGCTGTCAAGTTGTGAAGCGAAGGAATGGGTGTAACACGAAAGCACAGTATCATCCCGCCGAATAATGTGAGAGACCAGGGCCCTGGGCCGCCAGGAAGTCACAAACGGCGCCGAGCTTTTGCAAGGGCATGGCGATCAACTCCAGAGTCCAGCCGAGCTAGCAGGGGGGACAGACGACGCTGGCGCCGTTCAAAGAGGAGCCCTTGTCCGGTGCTTTGGGACGTCAGAGCAGAGGAACGCTCGTGACCACGGGCCAATCAAGGGGCTAATGCGGCGGCAAGAGAGCGATGTTAAGGCCAGGTAGATGAATAGTGGTCTCCATCACTCGTCAGCTCAGTACCCAAAGCTCAAAGTTTGAGACTGGTGCGGTTGCAGGGTTGTGGGAACGCCGAAAACTTTAAAGGATCAACTTGCAAACCTTCCCAGGCCCTCGCAGCCAGGCGCCGAGCCGTGCTGCAGGAATGTCGGCTAGAGAGTTGGACGAAAAGGAAGGGCGAGCCAGTTAATGACAGGTGAACGCCCACTAAAGCAGATGAGCATACTATACGGTCGGCGCAGGTTGACGATGTCGTGATGCAGTTCGGCAGTGGGAGTGGCGCCGGGAATTGCAAACGCGTCGCCAGGCATCAGGACGAGTCGGCGACTGCAGCGCAGCGGAACCATGTGTGGAACCTTGTCAGATCGAATCAGGCTAATGTAAAACGTTGGAGACTGTTAGAGGCCGGATGCGTCCGCGAGATGCCAACGCCCTTGAGCAGACGCTCGACCATGTAGATGCTGCAGGCAGTTGTCATACCTAAGGATGATCAGCCCCACCCACCGCCCACCAAAGGTCACCCCATGCGAGGCGAGGCGACGGGATAATGGCATGCGATTGCGAGGAGAGTGGGTTGTGAAACGATTGTATTGACTGGACTTCTGTAACGGAGGGCACTCCTGTTCCACTACTCCTGCGCTTTCGGTACCAGCGAACAGGTTCGCATACAGCGAGAGGAGGACCCGCACGGTCGATAATAAAGCTACGCGTGGTGACCCCGCAATTTAGAATTCAAGATGCACAGTAAATACGACGCGTGAAATGCAATCCGGCACGCCATGGAGGTCCATGCTGGCGCGATGCATCTCGAGTGTGATGCCGGCTGGCAGGCGGCCACCTAGTAACGCCACACTTCGGGCGTGCTCGACGGGCTTTTGGCACCGCAAATGACCGGCGCGCTTGCGAGACATCACACTGAGGTTGCTGGCCAAGCGAAGGCGAAGGAGTCGGGCGTGCGTCGCTGCAAGTGCTGCCCATGTTCCGCCCGCAAGGGGGCTTGGTGCTATGCCCTTCTGGTCGTGGACTGCAACAGATGTTTGCAGGAAACACGCTTCGAGACTCCCCGAGGAAGCTCTTGGCCACGGTTGGGCTAATGCAGGCTGACGCTTCTGTCAGGCAACTCTGAGATTGTGCGCACGACACGACCCCGGCGTGCTGGCTTTGGACGAACGGCAGGGTCAGTTCGCCGTGTAGAAACTGAAGGCGTTCAGGAAATGAGACAGTTCTGGCAGAGATGGGCGAAACTGTTGAGCGGCTGCTCCACCAGGGCTGCTTCACGCCATCAGTGCGGCGTGACATATCATCGGTAGGATCCGACATGCGACATGGCCACGACAATGACACGAGGGTTGAGGCAGCGACATTTCGGTCAGTGACTCGGTAAACTCTGGCTTCTTCTTTCTAGCGCGTCCACGGCGGGATGTTGTGCGTCGTCTTCTGCTTCGAGACGAGAACCACGCGGTGTATGGATGATGCCCGTCGCCGACGGTATGCTCCGGGCAGCAACTACAACGACAGCGTGTGGTGTCTACGGGTAAAGCAGAGTCGGCAATCGCGTTAGGAAGAGTGCATGCGCGCGCGGTGCAGCCATGGATGGCGCCATGGGCCCTCGTGCGGCGACGGTGAATCTGTCGGGGGGCGGGATTACCATGATCCGATGGACGGACCCTGACTAAATTATATGGCAATGGTGACGATGCACCAACGGCGGTAGCTTTGGCGAGGTTTTGAGAGTGCGACAACGAGCCTGAGTCGACCACACCGCCCCACGTGAAAGCCGATTCACCTGCCCTGCCCATCTCCGATCGTCCATGCCATGAAGCCACGAGTCGCCCGTCTGTGGCCTGCCACGCTGCCGTTTAGCGGTGCCGCCAGAGGTGCCGCCTCACGCCCATCGGCGCCCTTCCTCCGCAACTTCTTCACCTCTGCCCAACCCGCCGCCCGGTCCAGCCTAGGAAGCAAATCGCTGCACCAAGGCGCCCTGCTGCTGTTCCGCTACCAACGATCTGCCCTCGGCCGCCGCTTCCGCTCGCTGCGCTTCAAGAGCGACAAACCTCCCGTCCAGTCGCACAACCCCACGCCACACCTTGGCAGTCCCGAACCTGCGCCCTCGGTATCGCAGCGACTTAAGAAGCTTTCTCGCGAATATGGCTGGACGGCGGTCGGCGTGTACCTGGGCCTGTCCCTCATCGACTTCCCCCTCTGCTTCATGGCAGTGCGGTTACTGGGCACGGACCGGATAGGCCACTACGAGCATGTGCTGAAAGAAGCGCTCTGGAGTGTCGTCCGCCTCGTCATGCCCGACGCAGGCAAGAAGCCAGTACAGGTCGAAGCCGACGAGACCACTGCCGAGGCCACCGCGAGGGAAGGCTACGTTGAGGCTGGAAAGGCCGTAGGACACGACGGAGGGTCAAACGCATGTACGCAACCCCTCTACATCTGGTGCTATATAAATTACTAACCACCACCACAGCGATCTGGTCACAGCTCGGCCTAGCCTACCTCGTCCACAAATCCCTGATCTTCTTCCGCGTGCCACTTACCGCAGCCGTCCTCCCCAAGGTGGTCAAAACTCTAAGAAGCTGGGGCTACAACATCGGCAAGAGAAAGCCCAAGACGCCGCCAGTCTAATTGCCAACAGACTTTCACCCATCCGCCCACGGGCCATCGAAACCACTCCTTGTACATTCATGCATTACGACTTTGTAACAACACACACCTGTAGGATACGCATGTCAGACGAGCACCTCTGTTACATTCTACTAGTAGCGCACCAGCACATCTAGCGTCTCTTGACGTTGACCGCAATGTATATTCTCGGTCTTGCAGCGGCATGTCTTGACAATAGACAGCAATTACCGATACACCCAGATTCCCCTTTCAATATACCTAATTGTACAGCAAATCCCTGTGCCGGTTCTCTTGACTTTGACACCTTCCATTCATTCCCGCGCGTCTACTTTCCAATGCCGAGGACGGCATCTCAGGACAAGGAGCGTTTCAGGCCTCCCCCACGATCGCTCGCCAAACCTTGTCGGTCCAGACGAGCCGCGGAGTGCTCTCCGCAGATTGTGCTCAAACCTAGCGCCATGACCCCGCGGCTGGGAATGTTGCTAGAAGAACTTCAATCGTTGGCAAAACCGCGCTTACACAAGGAGCACCCTGTGCTCACGAGGGTACCAGCCGTGCGAACAGCAGCCGTAATGTTATGCACAACATACAAGGCATGCAGGGGAGCGCGGCCTAATCCTCGACCGCACCCATCACGTTGCTGTTGCCGGCCCTGAACGTTGGGAACAGTAGTAGCAAGACCAAGCCACACTACCATCGACTTCGGACCTTCGTCGTATATCGGACTTCTTTTTTGAGCTTTCCCGGAACGCGGTATCAAGACTGCAAATCTTCGCCCAAGTTGCAGAGTTTTGCCGCATGCGACATGGTGTTCTCATCCGAGCTTTACCCAGTCACCAAGTTCCACCTCGTTGGACTATCCCTTTTGCGCATCGGGCCTTCTTGTGTGGAAAGTTTCCCTACCTTCGGGATTTTCCCTACACTCTAAATCTACTCGCTTACCCAATTCGTACCCTGA